TTCCACCATGAAGACAAACATGTTTGTTGCATTGATCGATTGGCTATTCCATCCCAGCTTGGCAAGTATTTTCCTCGTGTCACTGGAGAATAAACTGCTGCGTTAACTCATCCAATTTTTGTTTCCCAGTCGGCTTTCACAACTATTCATCTTGCATTGTCTTGTTTGTACCCTGCGATGGTAACCTACTTAACTGTCATTCAATTCAATACCACTACTCTCAGTCTCGGGGCTTGGGTTGCTGGTTTCCACCACTGAACAGCAGGTCTTCATGACCAAGGGGTCCTACCCGTCTAATGTTCATGACAGAAATATTTGAATGTAATTTCATAAAAGAATAATAGGTTGTTGATATATTTGTCATCAGCAGGCGTATACAAAATTCTACAACAGTCTAACACTTTCGGATGGTCGTGTTACAATAATCCTTATGATTTGCTCGTGGTTGGAGTAGTGCCACGTTGCCCAGGTCGCAGCAGAGGAACATCGTGGGAAAACCACGATCTGTACAGTGCATTGGTTCATACACCCTTTGAACAGGGTCAAACGTGCCTAATACATATCTATACCTATCAAGCCGCTGCCACAAACAGCAAGGTGTGTGTACGTGGTTTGTACGCCTCTTCTCGGTTGGTTTGGACTCAGGGTTTTTCAACCAAGTTCACTAGGCGAATTGTCAGTGGTTCACCTATCCGGTGATTATTCTAGACTCTTCGCCCTCACTCCGGTGGCAATACACCTCCACCACAGGAAGGCAGGAAGAGAGCTGCTTCAACATAGGCTATTTGAAACGCTTGGTCGCACGGGAGCATTTCTCAACCCAAAACACTCAGTTTAGACCGTAATGAAACTTTCCGAAACATCATTAGAGAAAAAAATATTTTGAAGTGATTTTATATTCATACATTCATTCGCAACACACTAGTTTTCATTTCAATCAATAATATTCGAATTACCGGTACTCTGATTTTGACCCCCATCTTCCCGCTCAATCCTCCGTTTATTGATCATACACCATGGAAGCACTGACCTCAAGCTCATCAGTACTGCATATCTACCGTCTCATACGCAATTGCACTTCCGAATCGCTGAGATGGATGTTTGTGTTACTACTGTGCTAATCAAATCATTCCAGGACTGACCATTATTACCGATTCAGTTGTGTTCAGATACCTGAAATGATCCGTTTCAGTTTCAGTTTGTACAACCATTAACCATGTATTTTCGTGCTCCGGTTTGGGTTACTGTCTCATGACTGCCCATCCGGATAAAACAGCAAAATGAAGACGGAAGTGCTGAGAGCAGATTCAAAGAGAGTATAGAGAATTTATATAGCCGGGGTTGCAAAAATAATGAGTAGATGCTTGAGCGCCCTGTTTGCGACACTCAGTCATATCACTCAGTGTCTCTAATCACCGGTGACCATGATCTCGGGGTCCCCATCCAGGGAACCTAACGGGACGTTATGTAACGCAGTCTTCTGGATAGGATTTTCCTACCCTCATGTCAGGTCTTATTTGGATCGCCCTTGACCTTTTCCATCGATCACCTGCCTCGGTGAACATCGCTCGCCGTGGTAAGCTATTTGGTTACATGCGCAACACATATCCCAAACTTTTAGTCTATAGAGGTCCACTCGTTGTTCCAGTGGATGATCACGATTATCTAAAATAAGTTGTCTAACCTTATCACTGCTTGTCCGTTTTCCCCACCAGACTCGTTCAATGCGACGCAGACAGCGGTGTTCGAACACCGATAGTCTTAAATGAAAGTATGTCAGTTGTTCCACCAGCTTCAAATGGGTACACTGCATTTCAATCGAAAGCTTGCCACCGTATCAGGTCCTCTTTGTAAGTGTGGATATTCCTCTCCGAGTGTCGGTCAGGGCTATGAATATGCACTCCTGGTGAGCTTTAAAGAGACCAAAACTGGAGTGCTTTCTGGGGATACGTTTGCCTGGATGCGACAAAAATTGTAAAACTGAAGTATGGTTCAATGAAATCAATTTTCACCTTATTGGTCGCTATTTATCAACAATTTAATGTCCGTCGGATACTAATACAATACAAGAGACAGTTGATACTCTCCTCAGATTAGCCCGGATCGATAGAGTTTGTTTCGCGCTGTAGCTGAGCGCGAATTTAATACTATTCTTTCAGAACATCAACAAAAATAAAAACAGAAACGTTGACATTTTTATTGCTGTACGCACTGCCGAAGAATACTGCACTCATCCAGTCTCAATTGTTCAGATCACCGTTTTTAAACGACATGCACGCTTTTGGATGTAGGTTGGGCATTTTGCATTTGCGTAATGCTTTAACCACAACCACAATGCAAATGGGTTAACATGATTGTATTGATTTTCCCAAATCTGAATCACGTGCATTGGACCACGTGTGCAACGGATTCCTGCCACTCACAGGCACGCATACAATGTAGTTCACGTCGGCTGTCCATATGTGTCCACTCCACGAAGGAAGATCAGCTCGTTTCGCACATCAATCGAACTGGTTTCGTTTCATCGAATCGCGCGATGCCACCCCTGATTAAGGGTGCTTTATTTTGGGTTTTGTCCTTATTATTAGAATGACCGGTCGAATCTGTTGCTTACTCGCGTTGTCATTTTGCGTGTGTTTTGTCACGTTCATGTCGTTTTTCGGATGAGTATCGTTGCTGATTCCGATCATCTTCCCGTCTCTCTGGTGTGCACATTCGTCGCCCCCAATTCGTTATTGGTCAATTTCGTCCAATTCACACGCTAGTTTTTGTTTCTTTCGCATACATTGTGAGGATTATTCTTTGTTCTCTCAATCGTGATTTACGCAATGTCTGAGGCATCATGTTTGTTGTGTTCTCAGTATGCTTCTTCCTTCCGCTCACCCGTAACTTTCGCAATTACACACCCACACTTTCAGAAAAGTGTGCACTTAACAATTCGAGTATTGTATTCGTTTGCACCATGTGTTTTAGGGATGCTCCTGACTAACCTTCTAGGTCTCCTGTCCGCGATTATCAATTCCGTATTCGTCTATTTGAACAGTATATTGACGGATAATCGGGGATTTTTTGCGTTATACATTATCAACTCCGAACGCCTCACTATGGTCGACAGTGGGTGTCTTGGGTTTTGACTGGTTGCTGTTCCCTTGCACCTGAAGAAATGCTCCTGTACAACCACGTGTATCAAATAGCCTTTGCTCCAAACCCCTAATCACTGCCTTCATGAGGCAGAAATGATAGGATGAAAAGCCAGCATCGCCGCTTATAACCGGGTCGACGAACCACTGGCATCTCGCTTAGGGAAGCGGGCAAATAATCCTGATTCCAAACCAACCGCGAAGAGATGGACGAGCCACATACCCACACCCTCTTGGTTGTGACAGTAGTTCCCAGCTCGATTGGGCATCTTGGACATTTGACCTGGTTCACACCGCTCACTGTCTAGCGGGCCGGACTTTGGCTAGCTAAAGGCTTCAGTTGTGAATTACCAAATAAATCTCACTTGGCATCCTGATGGTATTCCATCCACGAACAAATCATGAGCCGATTTATCCGTTATTAACATCATTGTACCGTAACTTGTTTTCCAAGGTCTAAACTCCAACCTCTAAAATATGATAATAATAATACCCTATCTTGTACACTCGCCCATACACCTTCCATGTACAGCTGTTTCATCCCTGTTAGAAATGAATTTTCATCAATCGTGTATTGAATTTAATCAGGGTATGCTGACCCGGGAGTCACACATTGCTCCCCACAGGCTACCCAGATTGGTCCTATTAGTTAGTTTTGATGTCGAATCTATGTCGTTCGTGTGAATTATCCGTTTGGTACTGAATGTACTAATGGAAACAGATACATGAACACCACTGATATGGTTTGCAATAAGCATGATTAAAATATTCCCAAGTTAATGGCTATTTTCACCAGATTAGTATCACTGTCAATGAAGCATATTGTTCATCGAATTCGGTTCCAATAATTTTTCACTGTTACCTTTTCTTTCATTCTCTCTCTCTCTCTCTCTCTGCCTGTTTCATTCTCCCCATTCAGTTCGGACGACGCATCAACGAAACCACCACATCGACCGCGGTCTACCGTGGCTTTGGATTTGTTCGAAGTTGTTCCGACTAAATCAAGTGTGGTTTGGCGTGCGAACGAATCAGCTCATCGATTCTGGCGTCCAATCGATCCCGAGGAACACGAGGCCCAACCGGAATACATGAGTGATGCGATTAGTTTGTCCGTCCCAGCTAGTTCATCTGGAACAGCGGTCGTACAGCAGGACACCGCGATGGGAGACTCCGCCTCTAAATCACCTGATGATGTTGATGACAAGGCGTGGTCCGATGAACCGGGTGAGAATTTGCCTCTGAGCAGTGTTTATCTTCGCGGGTAGTTATACGTTTTTGTCAGTAAGTAATAATGGCGTATAGAACTTCTCCTGATCAAAGCATTGCTTACGCTGAGTCGTCCAGGAACCGTAAACATTGATACCTACTTTACATGTCAAAACTTCGCAAGGGTCTACAACCAATTCGGCTTTTGTTTTTCTCAATTGGTATCGACGATTTCGCAGAGTCTTATTCTCAAATGTGCTTACACAGTTGACTTACGCTCACGCCCACGTCTATCCTGATATAATGTGTAACGGGATAATCGTTATTTCTGGGGGGGGGGGGGTAAGAAAAAGTTGTTCGGTATTCGATCACTGCTGTCTTCGCCACACTGCACGAGTCTGGTATAACGCAACTGGTCAAGGTTAGATACAAAGCGTTTGCAGTCAAGCAATAACTCAAGTACTTGAAATCGATAGAGTGAGATGACTAAGATGCAGGTCACACAAGTGGCCTGATAGGCTCCGTTGGCTTGAAATGTTTGCCGCGACAGACTGTGGTTGGATGAAAGCCAAGGGTACTCAGATCGATTGTTTGTTCACATAGTTCGCGTTAGGCTTCCTCGTTTGATACCAATGAGTATCGTGAACGTTGGTACTCTCTCGTTTACTCCGTTTCTAATCATTGACTCCTTTTGCGTTGCTTTTTTGTTTATCGGTTTGCCAGATGAGCAACCAAAATCAGCACCCGGATTGGTACGGTTGTTGGTGGTGAAAAACTGAAACTATTCAATGAATACAGCTTCGGTCTTTTGGTGTGCCTGTTCAAAATCCATTGCCGATAAGGTTGACCTTTGAGAAAAATAGCACCTGTGATTTAGATTTTAACTGAGTATCCTTCAGTGTCTATCCTTTGGGCTCCAATCGGGTTGCACCAATCGAAGCTAAAGCTGAAGCGATCTTCTTCATACCCCTACACCATGTCATGGTCTGACCTCCGCGGCACTTTTTACAGAGAGCACGGAAATGTAGGTGAAGAGCAGGCATAAGCAAAACGTGACCAATCCATCAGGGGTGGTGTGGAGCGATTAATTCCTTTAGAGAACGACTATCCACACTCAACACACGACGATGAACATCATCATTACTCACCTAGTGTTCCAACCAGACGCGAGCAATGCCTCAGAGATATCGGTGGTCGAATATAGTGTCGATTAGCATCCTCTATGTGGAGAGACCAAGTCTGGCATTGTGGGGTGATGAACTCTCTAGTTACGAGGATGAACCAAAAATGTTCGGAAATAGATACCAGCAACCGCGGGTCCATAGAAACAGTCTGCGATCTGTTTCAATTAACCTAAACTTGCCTGATCCGAATTTAGCTATTACTGCGTGCCGGTCACCTAGCAGATTCCCAAAGGGACCGGTGATAATCACAGTTTTTTTCAATCAGAACTAGGTCCACTGTATGCCATCTCAGACACGTTCATTGCTTATAATATATATACTGATAATCCTGGTGACTTAGTTTCTTATATGTATTTCGCACGCTGAGACATCTTTTCCAAGTGATTTTTCCAAGACTGATAGTGCAATCGCTTTGAGGCGTGGGAGTCGTTTGGTGACCAACATCTTGTTCACAAAAGGCATCCCTGGAAAGCGCGATGATTTGTTTAGCAGTACACACGTTTGCTTCGATATACCGCTCTCCGGGAGGGTGCTAAAACCAACGTGTACTTACTATTCCATGTATCGGTATGAAACATGTGGAAATGGAGTGTGTGTTAGTGTGTTGGATGACCTCTTGAATTGTCACATGAACACACACTAGTGAACTAGTGGAATCAATAATGATATTGTGTCTTGTTTCTGGACCAACTCAGCAAACTTACTTTATTATGCCTTTATTACGCCATGAAAATTTTCACAGACCCAATGCATTCTTTACAATCCGTTTGTGTTTTCGTGGTCGGGTTGTATTCCTTTGGTAGTTCAAAGATTCCCCGCGTTCTATGTGCACCTGTGTTAGCGGTAGAATTTGCATGCAAAAGGCTGACATATAGCACGGAAGAGCTGTTTCATCCTTGTGAGGATTCATTAGAAGCGAGTGTTTTTTCTATCCCTGTGAAAAAATTGAGTACGATTATCCAAACCGGTCGCTCTGTATCTCCACGTAGTCGGTTTTGTTTTCAGCGACCGTCACACTAAACTTTGCTACCACTAACCAAAATTGTGATTATGATACTATGGTTAAGTTCTTCGCTGTTGTATGCTCTGTTACTTTTAATAATAATAGCAATCCTAATGTGGTGATGGTCCATTAGTAGTTACTTATATCCTTCATAATAAAAACTTAACAATTCCCTATTCTCACCTAGGCTGAATGAGAGTGAAATATAAAGGATCGAGGTTGTCTTTGTACACAAAACGAGATTCACTGTTACTAACATCATGCATCAGATATGAAATACCTGACCGGTAGACATCCGTATGAAACTCCCTATTGTAGAGCGTTTTGTCAGACCTTATCATCAATTATGACTCCAATTCGTCTCGTCGTATTTCTTGATCAAGATCAACCCGACACTATCAACAAACTCGCCTGCTGGGCACCTTTACTGACCGCGTCCACCTCACACGCGGGGCATCTGTGTCCGCGACGTGACCCCGGTGGTCGATGCCCAATTCACGGTCGAATAGTGCCTCGTGATCGAATCACCGGACGCCCGATCAATCCACTTGATCGAGAACAATTGCAAGCTGAAGTGGTAGCCACCCACCAAGCCAAATT